ATAACGAGTCATGAGCTATTCTCAATAAAAGAAGTTACAACATTTCCTAAGTCTAAGACCTAAGCGTAAGAAGTAAGTAAAGAAGTTGGCCTTTTCGTTGAGTTTGGTTAATTAAAAGGAAGGCGTATTTTTTCATCACTCTCACCCCTGTCTCATGCTCAGGTGTTGCATACCCATGCTCATTTATTATTATATCCATAAAAAGTTTCTCTTTTCCCACCCCCTTGAGGGGATTAAAAAATATTTTACTTCATTTTTGACTAGTGTGTGTGTGTTCTTGTGCGCATGATTTAGTTTTACTTTCATTCATATTTTTGGCCTTTTTTTGTTTTGCTTTCAATGAGATTTATTTGATATGACAGAAAGCATTGAAAAGCTAAAAGTGACATCCCCCCCCCCCCCTAGCATTAACAGTCTCGTTTGAATGTGCTCAATATTTCCAGACCCAGCATAACATTGTAGAGGCATTCTAGGTCTAGGCCTACTTAGATCTGCCAGTGTATGTCTAATTCTCACCCCAAGTTTAGAGGTCAGCCTTCAGCCAGTATTACATCTTATAAAGAATCTAGATATCTAGATCTAGAGATAGGAAAGATAAGAAGTTACCCGACCTGGGTGGGAATAACAAAAAAATTTTTTTTTCACTGTTGTTTGCTGTTCATGGTTTGAAATGACCTTCACCCTGCCCATTAAATAAACTAAACCTGAAACTTATCTCTACAATTTATAAGTTATTCTCTGTGTGTGTCTGTTCTATAGGCCTACTGTATGTAGCACATCTGAGGGGGGGGGGGGGTGAGAATAGCGAGACACAGGCGATTCTCACCTGAGAATCTAGCCACTTCCTTATTTTATATCCGGGGTAAATTAATAGTTTTTGAAATATTTAGTGAAAATTAATGGATATTATTCCAACTATAGAAGTATGGGCCGTACTTAAATTACACCAACTCTGAATAAGTTGACATAAGCCTACTTGCATTGCAATTTCTGTTTTTTGGACCAGCCCGAGGGGTGGGGGGGG